AGGTTTGCTGACTGGTTCTCGCACCACGTGAGTATATATATTGTGGTCATTGGTATTAATATATAGAATGTAATGGCGTATGCAATGTGTTTCTTACGTGTGACCTTCTTTTATAGGTCATGTTCGAGTTAAACGACTCAAATGAACAATTAAAATCCCTAGCACGCAGACCAGGCCGTTATGCCACCATGCATAGGGATACTTTGTGAATAATTACAAGTTCCATACAGTGACCCATGGATCCCGTCGAGTTACCCATAATAGTGGTATATGTGTAAGGGAGGCCTGTTATGACGAGTATGAGTATGACTTCTACGGAATGTTAGATGAAGTTATAGAGGTGGAGTATTATGGCTCAGTGCGACAGGTGGTTGTCATGTTCAAATGCACTTGGTTTGATACTGCCTTGGGGGTTAGAGTTGACCCTAAACACAATTTGGTATAAATCAAATATAAGTCTAGACTTGGATCCGACGACCCGTTCGTTCTAGCATCACAGGCAGAACAAGTCTATTATATTTCATATCCTTCGATGACAAAGGATTTGAAAGATTGGTGGGCAGTTGTCAAGACAAAGGCTCGTGGCATATATGAAGTGTCCGACATGATTAATGATGTTGAAAACAATGATCATGTGGATGGAGAACAATTCTTTCAAGTCAACAAAAGGGTAACTCATACAACGTTCTCATTGGGAAACGAGCTCGATGATATTTATCTTGCCACAGGGGAGGTAAACATACTCCATAATATAAATGAAGATGAAGGTGGCGACGAATCGAACGAAGATAGCGAAGATGAACCAGAATTTGAAGACATAGATGATGATTCAAATGATGAAGATGAACCGATGTTATCTGATCATTCTTCTGATGAGTAGCTTGTGTTCTGTATGCTTATTTTACAGTTGTACATATATAATCACGATTTGTCATTATCTTTTTTCATGATATAATCTAATGTTTGTTTTTTCAGGAGATGTCACGCCGAGAGCGTGGTAGAGGCCGTCATGGGAGTCGTGAGTGCCCCATGTCTGGTAGGGGTAGCAACTCTGCCCGCGCCGATGACATTGTAGAGTTTTCAGACACCGTTTTTCGCGGTTTAGATGAGCAAGAGGTGGCCATGGAGCCCCCAGCTTCGACAGGTTCGGGGTCGGGGAGAGGCCCCAACATAGAGTTGCCGACACCGAGTCATCCGAGCCACTGAAGACATCTGTCTTTGTTAGGACAAGGGTAAGTAGATGTAGTATAAGACTTTGTATTACATAATAAAATAATATGAATGTCTTTGTGTTGTAAATATTTTTTTTATTGTACAGGTTTAAAAATGCCCATGTTATCCGAGAGATGACGACTATCTTCAGGTCTTCCTTTGTTGGTTCGTGGCATAGATGGAAGGAAGTACCTCAGGAAGCACGTGACTTGATGTTCCAACGCTTTAGGGTTGGTGTACCATTTTAATGTAATTATACATATAAAGTTATTGTTTTTACATTTATACAAACATTGTGTACGTAGGCTAAGTTCCAGTGGTAACCTGAGCTGGATGATACGATTCATGATTTATGGACCAAAGCCATGCACAACAGGTACTCTGACTGGATGAGCTCTGCATGTGACTGGGTCATGGCACAGGCCTATCCTGGTGATCAACAATGGGATGGTGAGGGCTTCTCACGGATTAGATTACACCATCCCATATGGATACTAGACAGGTTTTGGCTGCAGATGATTGACACGGTATGTATCTCTATTGTGACCTTTTCGAACTGCCATGTGTACCGCCTTTCGCCTTATATATGTGCTCTGTTTTTAACAGGTTTGGGATACTGAGGCTTGGAAAAGGAAATCCAAGATCAATAGGGCCAATCGGAACACCCAGTTTGAGGGGGTATCGTCCAGACACACTGGGGGCTCGATTAGTACTGCACAACATCGAGATAGGATGGTAAGTATATAATCTTTTTTGAAAATGTAATTCGTTCTTTATGTTAGTAACAACTTAACCTAATTGTTTAATGTAGGCACAAGTAATGGGTCATGATCCGACTGCTACTGAGGTGTTTGAGTACACTCACTGCACGAACCGGAAGTTCGATCAAGGTTCGTCCGACCCGCCTACCGATCCTCCTCAGTTCAGTTACCCCAAAGCTGCTAGGTATCATGTAAGTTTTCTAAAACCATTACTTTGGTTAGTAGATACGTTTGGTAGGTTTAAGGTAATATATTTCAATAAACATAGTGATGCTATTAGTTTGGGCTGCCATTGTTGGGCAGACGTTAGGCTAAGTAAGTAGGTTGAGAATGTGACTTCAACATTGGTATTATTAGAATGCTTAGTTGTTAAAAACATGCATTGGTTATGTTTGATTTACAGTTGTTATGCTACTGAAATATCTACATACATAACCTCACCCGTTTTTGTTTTGGTGAACCATAGGAGCGATTTCAATCGCTTAGGGGTGAGTCACAATTTAGTACCGACAGCCCTCTCCCTGATGAGGCATCTTTTTGGGAGCAAAGTGTCGGAGGGCGGAGGAAAGGCCGAATATTTGGTTTCGGGACCACCCAGGATCCCTCTTATGCTATGACAGGTAGATGTAGCAGTAGCGGGTCATCATACGAGTCAAGAGCGGAGGTACGTTGGTTATATTGTTATACACTTTTTCATTACTAAAATTGCGAACAAATTACTGATTTTGTCAAATATTGAATATTTATAGGTAACGGAGTTGAGAGAGAAGTTGGCAAGGGTAGAAGAGGAACTGGAGACCGAACGAAAGAATAGGGCAGATTTGGAGGTCGAACAGGCCAGACAAGCTGCTGCATTAGCCCAACAGGCCGCATTATCGGAGTATTTTGCTACGTTTATGCGGCAGTCAGGATACGTTTTCCCACCTCCCCCACCTCCCGATAGTTAGATTGTATGTATTTGAAGATTAAATTGCATGAATTGAATATTTTAAATTGTATGAATCCATATTTTAAATCGTATGAATTGGTTAGTTAAAATTTGTTCACAGTTTTTGTTTGTTATATTATTATTTTCAGGTTTTTTTAATAAACAAATACAGGAATTATGCAATTTCATAAAATTTATTTTTTAAATTTATACAAATTAGCGATAGATTAGCGAGGGAAAATCCGTCACTGAAAGTCCTTGAAAATTCCCTCGCAAATCCGTCGCTGAAAGTTCCCTCGCAAATCCGTCGCTGATAATTCCCTCGCAAATCCGTCGCTGAAAGTTCCCTCGCAAATCCGTCGTTGAAGGATCAGTCGCTGAAAGTTCCCTCGCAAATCCGTCGCTGAAAGTTTCCTCGCAGATCCGTCGCTGAATGTTCCGTCACAGATCCGTCACAAAATACTTCCCTCGCTGATCCGTCGCTGAAAATGTCCCTCGCAAATCCCTCGCTGATATCCGTCGCTGGTAGCATTACCTACGACTATTTGACCGATGGAGTATCAGCGACGGATTACCCTTTTAGCGACAGATTGCCCTTTCAGCGACGGATTTACGAGGGATTTTTCCCTCGCTGATACTCTGCATTTTTGTAGTGTATAAAACTCATGAACTCATGATATGGCCTGATTGTTTTTATTCTGAATATTATGTATGTATCAAAACCTTAAAGATTTGAAATAACTTTGAGTGTTGAAGGTTATTAGTTAGCAATTTGAAATCCTTTTGTATCTTGTTTATATGATAAAAAATCTTGATGTTTAATAGTTTTATTGTATATTAAGGTATCGACCATAATAACTTAATGTTATTTCAATACATGTAGTATCAATGTATTGCAAGTGATATTTAGAAATGGTGGGTGTCAAAACATATCGCTTAGTGCATATCCTTAGATAAATACCTAAATTAATAGTAGCTATTGTATACATGTACATATTTCACCATATAAATAAAAATCAATCACGGAATTAATTTCCATTCATGATCGAACTCCATCATATTTTAAATATTTTTTATTAAACTATTATATAGTTCGTAAAATAAGTGGTGTATTATTGTAAAAACCGATATTTAAATTCATATCATACAAAAGTTTGATCTTTAAAAAAAAAAAAAAAAGAGGAACCTAGTTTGGTCTACTCAAAATATAATGTGGTATTCGCTCAATATACAAGTTTATTTTATTCATGTTTTTTCTTTCTCTTTTTTTACTTTGGATAAAGTTACGTTTTATTACTTAAGATAATTAATACCAATATTTAATAATATAATTACTACAAGATAATAATAATAATGACAACAATAATAATAATCATAATAACAAAAAAGAAGAAGGATTGATTGAGATAAAAAAAATTAAATAACCCATCGAACCTTCACTAGTCGGTTAATATAATTTTCTTTGGATTAAAAGAATATTAGGTAGTCAATTTTTAAAAGTACGATGATTTATTTATTAGAAGAATATTCAAGGACTTAATAAATTAAAATGAAAAAGTTTAATGGTTTTGTTCGTAAAAAAGTAAAAGTTTAATGGTTTTTCATTTAAAAAACAATTCAGGTCTTGATCATTTAAAATAAGAAAATTTAATAATTTTTTTATTCAAGAAATAATTAAAAATTTAACATTTAAAATGGAAAAGCTTGTTGGGTTCCTTTATATAATAATGTATGATGAAATTCCACAAATGCCGCTTATTCTAAGGTTTAAAACAATAAAATGATGTGTACATCACAAATCAAAGATTGACATATTTATTTAATTCTTTGACCCAGATTTCACATATATAAAATCACTGCATTTCCATGTCGACGTCCTTGGTGTCTTTTAATTCCTCTTGGTGCTGCAGAGGCTCCATTTCCTTACTCTTTCCCCACAGCACACCATAAAGTCCGATCACAATCAGCACTGATCCTAACACTCTGCCATCCAATTATAATAATCATAAACCAATCAATTTATTTAAATTACTAAATAAACTGTTAGCTAAAAAGCTAAATCTTAACTAATAAGGTAGCACCGGTAAAAATCACCTATCCCAAAATCAAAAGTCTACGACTTTTTCCTAATCAACTTTGATTGATCCTAAAAAATGTATCTTTGATGGTATTGGTTTGGTGTTTTTCAACATATATACAACTTACGTTCCAAGGTATAACTTCTCACGCAGAAGAGCCCAGCTGAGTGCTGCAACGATAACCAACAACAACGGGCTAAACACCGAAACAAAAAGCGGGCCTTTTCTTTCGATACACCATGACATCATGCAAACGCCCATAGCCGAACATACAACTCCCTGTAATAAGTTGAGTAATTGATGAATTTGTGTTCTAATTGACAATTCTAATTGTATAGATGGTGGGGTAGCTCAACTGGTCAAGAAACAGGTTTCTTTTCTCATTAATCACGGGGTTCAAGTTCCCAGGTTCCATAGAGGTTGTCCCAACTCTTAGAGCCGTTTTTCAAATGTTTACATGGTTAGTGTATACCTTAGTACCTTACCGGTGAGCATGACAAGTACCGAGAATCTTTCCCGTTAAAAGGCATAGCAAGGATCGTGAAGTTTACCCGTTAACTAAGGATGGTGACTCTTACTCCGTTAGCACGCACTTGTTAACAAATGTTTATCAACAATCTTACTATGTCATTTTAATGGCCTAGAATCTAATTGTAACTCTTATTCCATAAACGCTTACGGGTTAACATTAAATTGGTATACACACGACCCTCCCATTTCAAGGCCCGTTGAATTGGTCGAGGTGCTGGAATATCCACCATTTTAAATAAATATATATGAATCGTAGAATATGAAAATGCTATATATATATATATATATATATGTATATATATATATATATGTATATATATATATATATATATGTATATACCGCATAAATACTTGAAAAGGCCCTGATGGGTGGAAACAGCGACCATTCATGTAAGCGTGGCTCCATGATGAAACCAAATGCCAAGCATTCAACAGTAGCCATGGACAACATCAAGGCTGAGCTAGAATAGGGCACCGGATACTTGTTGCACATTCTTGCCTGAAAATGATGTTTACTTCCTTCAGCAGATTTGTCTCTAAACCAGCTTTTAACATATTCGATCTCATAATGGATAAAAGGAAGATTTTAGGGTTTTAGGATAATTTTTGTTTAAACAGATTGTACAAATTAGAAAAATGTAAGATGACGTTTGTCAAATTTGAAGAACATCGGGCCTAAACATGATTGTTTAGAAGAGATAAATGATAATTTACTATACCCCAAACACTGAGAGGTGTTTTGAAATTAAATGTTTAGAAGAGAAAATTAATATTTTATTAAATTAATGAATATAATTGATTAATGTTATAATCTTCAAATAAAGAAGCTATGGGAGTTGAAAGTAAATTCTTTTTAGGCGGTGTTTGGAATTGCTTATAAAAACAACTTATTGACTTATTCCGGTGTGACACCGGTAATAAGCACTTTTGAGTCTTCGGATAAACAATTTATACCGGTGTCAAACCGGTAATAAGAAGTTTTTGAAGAAGTTAAACTTCTTCTGACTTATAATAAGTTGATAAGTGTTTTATTGTAGAAAAACATAAATTGTTTCAAATAAGCAATCACAAACACTGCCTTTATATCTTGATTCTAGGAAAATTGTAGATGAGTACTCCAAGAAATAAAAACAAGTTGAAATGAATGATTTTAGGTGTGGCTTACTTGCAAGATGAACCAAATGGCCCACGTCAAAGAGCTAAGGATGACTAGAAACGGTCCGAGAAGGTTTGAATTGCCTTGACCACTTTGGTTCGGATCTTTAGCCATGTCTGCAATGGTTAAGTGAATGCTCGATTCACCAATGGGTACGATTGGTCCATGGTACATGGATAATAGCATGGCACCCCCAACCCCAATGAATGTTCCAAACAACTTCGCCTGTCCAGCCAATGTCTTTAGTTTTGCACTTTCTTGCCTACCAAAAGAGAACACAAAACAATCACATGGTAACAAAGCCAATATCTCTACAACTCGAGAGACTAGACATGTACTCTAGAACAATTTATACTCCCTTGCGGCACTGTGAGACATTTTATGTCCATACGTGCAGTATAGAGACGGATTTAGAATTTTTTTTCAAGTAGTGACACCATTTGACTATAAGAAACTATTTAGGGATATTTTTCACAAAAATAATCGTTGCTGTGTTGTTTAATTCATTGTTTTTCATATGTCAGGTCCCATGTTCAAGTCTGTTATTGTAAATTTTTTCAAAAATATAATAAATCTGAAATTGAAAGCTAACAATTAAGAAAATGACACTAATAGAATTCAAGATCGGATTAGGGATTGAAGAAAAGTCTTGCAAAACAATTATACCAAAAGAAACTTGTGTTCTTACTATAGTTTCAAAATATATTTGGTGACACACAACAAAAAGACAGTGACACTTTTCACGACCCTCTAAATTCTTTACACTATGATAAAGGAACGAAGTGGTGGCATGTGCCACCGTATCCGATACACTGGGTCTGTCCCTGGTGTAGCATCCATTGTTTGAACTCAAATTTGGACCGTTTGACCTCTATATATGTTAGATCCTTCTCGTCTCCCGATAACTCTTTTCGATAGTAATTTAATGGGGTCCACATACGCCCATTGGTATTTTTAGTATACAATCATAGAGTTGGGTTAGGGTGAGAAGGGAAGTTATGGTGATAAACATAAGAAAAGATCTTCACATTTGAATCAATCATAATAAAATGTCAACACTAATGAGGTGAGCAGATCAATTCTTTTATAAAACACTATTCATGGGTGCACATGAGATTAAAAGTGATCAAAAATTCAGATCTCTTCTTACGTCTCTGACCATAACTTCATTTCACACAATCTTTCGCCTATATACAATCATATATATCCTTTATTAGAACACAGTTATATAAGATTAGTTCGAACTACGTTATTACTTGAAAATGACGGCGAGGACGAAAGTTAGTGCGGGAAGTAGATTCGATAATGCACACGCTATGGTTGGGGTGGAGTACTTCAGACCAACAAAGTAGGTGATTTGGTTCATCGTCAACCTGATAATGATATTCCCAAAAAGACAAAATGGAGTGTAAATCCGAATTGAAAGAGCATTTCTGAAAGCTTAATTATGTGGAATATATATTGATAGAAACTAATTAAGTCACCCGAATAAGGAGCAGAAGAAAATTTGGATGAAAATGGACAGCGTCATTGGAGGCCTTTTTCGTCTGCATGCAGATGACAAGCAAAATAATTAGTTAATCTATATAACAGAAGATATACAACTCATTATCCTAGCTGAATTAGTACAGTTCAGTCACCATATATCCTGCATGGCCACCTTTACCCATTTTAACAATTTTCAGTTATTATCGTTCTCAATAATATTCAAATTTGCTTCCTTTTTCTATGGGATTAAACTACAATAGATTGGGTTATAGGACGTTCACAAATAAAAAGGTGTCCTAATAGACCATTTTATAAGACATAATTTATAGAAACAAAAAAAAAAAAAAAAGTCATATTTAAAGGCTTTGTAATAAGTTTATAGGACACTTTTGGACATCTTAACAAGTTTTTTATGATACTTTTGATACAAAGTGTCGCATTAACTATTTTATAGAACATTTTTTTATAAAATGTCCTATAAATTTATCTTTTTATAGGACACTTGTGTTTATAGGACATTTTTTTCAAACATTGTCATATAAATAGCTAATATTACGGTTTTTTTTAATAAAAAATGGTCTTCAAAACTTGTTAAGACTTCCAAAAACGTCATATAAACTTATTACAATACCTTTAGATAGGACACTTTATTTTTTAGTCATATAAATCTCATGTCCTATAAAGTGATCTATTAGGATGCTTATTTATCGATGACGTCCTATAAACCCAATTTTGTTTTAGTATTATATTAGCTTCTCGTTTCATTTTATCATACATACACAACATTACAATGAAACCGGGTTTAAAGAAGGCCAAAAATGTTTATTTGTTCTAATATACGATTTTTCATAACTTCACTTTATAGTACTAAACACTTCCGCACCCTATTTAAAAATGCTATAATAAGTTTACACGACGTTTTGAAAAGAATTTGAAATAAAGCATCTTAATTATTAATATTTTTTCATGACAATATTTGAAAACATGTTCGATAAAAATATGTGCTTATACAACACTTCTCAGACATTTTATCAAAAAAACTAATAGAACACTTTATTACAAAAATGTCTAATAAAACATATTAACACAATGAAATACGTAATATATATATATATATATATATATATATAAAAAGTTATTGCAACATTTTTACATAAAATGTATATTTTTTTGGTTTGTAAACTTGAAGTCTAAGAAATCAATCTATTAATTAAAACAGTTACACATTTTTTAGGTCCTATAAAGTATAAATCCAATTTTATTGTAAGTGGAAATGGGGAATTAAGGAAGAATATAGAGAATGTAGTATAGTTCCTACGTACCTTTCTATGAAGTAAGCCAATGGTGTGAGGGTGACAGAAGCAAACAGTTGGCGATATGCAACATGAATGAAAGGATTCATGCCAGAATCCAAGGCCAGCTTGGAAAATATGTTCATACCTGCAAACTCAATCTGTACAATCACCATCATCAACAATGGCAATATCTCCTGCACCATTTTTCTGTATATGTTCTCCCTCAACTCCTCTTTAACCTCTACTATCTTCACAAAAGAGAGAGAGAGAGAGAGAGAAGAAAGAGATGTCGATTTGTTAAGTTGAAGAAATGATGAGATATGGATGTGCTTAATGGGAGGTTACTTATAGCAAATGGGTAGCATTGAAAATGCATGCATTTGATGAGATACATACGAAAGCCTCTTTCTACTTTCTGGAAGCCTGAATATTTTTGTAGTCATAAAGCACTCACCGAAATGATGTTTGAAAGCCCAGTTTTTGGCTTTTGCAATTTAGACAAAACTTGTGGCAATAAAACTCGCATGCCATCACGAAAAATCTCCTTCTAGATTTTGTAAGTTAAAGGCTTTATGTGTGGGAGAAAGGCAAGGTTGTAGCTGTGAAACCACCTGACAACTGTAAAGATTCTGGCCGCTGTAAACCCAGATTCTTATAAGAACCTGGTTTTTGTATTCTTTGTTGTCACATTCTATTCTTTTCAAAGTCATCAAATCAAGAACTCATAAAAAAATAGTACCATGGTAGTTCTTATAAAAACTCATTTTTGTGCGCTTTATTTATTTTTTCAACATCAATAATTATTATAAAGTCAATAAAAAACTGGAAAATTATCGGTTCACACAAACTTAATTCATGTTAAGAACCAAGATTTTTGTACAAAATCACAAAACAAGTGAGATGAGATTCATATAAAAACTCTATACATTAGTAGTTCATTCTTAAAAGTCATTATACTTTTTGCTTATGAAAAATCCTCTAATTAGCTGGATGCTTTCTTTCTTATCCTAGTGAAATAATTACCTGCCTTTTAGTTAGACACTCATTTTTCCCATGAAATTATACCATACCTTCTAAATATCTCCAAATAAATAACACAAAAAGTTGGAAAATACTTTCTACTTAACTTTTTTGGAACAAATACATTTTTGAACTTTTTAAAACCGAAGAAATTTATCTTTATGACTTATAAAAATGGTTAATATGGTAAAAATATGGAAAAAGAATATTTCAACACGTAATCAATTCTTGTGACGTTTCTTTCCAAAAGAAACAATTCTTATGATGCAATTTCATATTTTAAACAATCAAGTCTCTAAATATTTTATAAACAAATAAATCTTTATATACATAAACCGAATACTTCAACACATCAACAATAAAATACAAGGAATCAATTAAACAAAGAAGTTATTATCTAAATTAGTTATTTTAATGCATACAAATTTTGTGCCAAATTAATACAAAAATTGATTGACCCAAAGTTGTGCCGTTCCCTTTACTTTTTAAGTGATTTAGGTTCTATTTGAAAAAAAAAAAACTTTAAAACATATTTAGAGGATGTTTCAAATATAATTCATTACATTTATATAACTAATACAACTCAATTAATCGAGATATTTATGAAAATGATGAAAGTTCATTTATTATGATTTGGATATTTATGGAAGATATCTAAGATTCATTAATTATGATCAATACTTTATATCAGAAAACAATCAAAACTTTTATAAAATCACATATTCATTCAATTAAATGGACGATTGAGATTGAGTTGTATTGATTGTACAAATGTAAATGATTATATAATAACTCACCTCTCTTCTATATATATATTTATATATAAACATATATATATAGGGGTTGGTTCAAATACTAACCAAGATTATCGTGTTAACTTTGTTAACCGATTTTGGTCGTTGATTTGAACATCCAACGGTTGTCATTTATTGATACTAAAAATTTAATTATTTAATTACCATATTAATAAAAAATTAGGTTCACAATGGTTCAGAGGGTAGAATTGTAAAAAGTGAATGATCTTAACGTATCCTATTTTGTCAGCCTATTCTATAACTTCCAATCAATAAAGAAACCGTCAATCTCATCGATCAATATCTTAAATCAGTAGCTAAAAATTAGGTTCATAATCTTCATCAAAACAATGGAGGATTTGGAAGGATTACCAAGCGACGACATCCAGATAAGATTGAAACATGTGTGTGAACCTAATGAACAATGTGTGAACCTAATGAACAATTGAAAAATTAGGTTCATAATCTTCATCAAAACAATGTGTGAACCTAATGAACAATTGAAACATGTGTGTGAACCTAATGAACAATTGAAACATGTGTGTGAACCAAATGGACATATTGTGTGAACCAATTGAACAGTTTGATCATTTTCTTCACTTTCGGAATTCAAATTCCGAATGTATTCGTAGACGCTTTTAGCTTTTTCATTCTCATTATCGTCGATCTGTTTTACACTATGATTATTCATATTACTCGGACTATAACGGAATCTTTACAAAAGAGACTTTTTTGAAATTTACAATATCCAAACCATTGTATGAATAATGAAATGTAAAAATCAGTAAGATGAACAAATATGAAACTTTATGTCATTATTACATGAAGATCAATTAGTGATATTTTAAGATTTGTAACTCCCAATTAAAATATTGGGGAGTTACATAAAAATGACAAATTACCTAAATATCCTTACACTTAATATGTGAGTTACATTTGAACCTAACTAAAAGATGGAACATGATTGGTTGATGTTGGTTAGCATAGTTAATATAAAAAAATGGGTTAACATTTGAACCAACCTATATATATATATATATGAATACTAATAACTTTTTTCGGTCGAATAGAAAAATAAAGTTTAATACCGTAATCATGTAAAATTAGAAAGTTTGTGGGGTTATTTTAAAAAATGATTCAGCAAAATATCCGTTTATCAATATTTTTTTTGGTCAAAAATGTAATTAATCAATTTTACAAAGTTAAGGGATTTTAGAAAAAATAATTCAACAGAGTTAATCGTTTAAAAACAAATTGTTGAATTATTTTTGGACTTTTTCCTCAAATAAAAATAACTTTATTTAGAAATAGTAGAAGGGTACTCGTGTAATGCATCGAGACATATCTCAATTTCAACATTTTGTTTTATTTTTTATTTATGTCGATATAATACGGTTTTATCTGGTTTTAAGAAAATGATAATGTTTTTATTTTTTAATAAAATATCATAAAAATTTGAAAAACTATATTGATATTAATTAGTATCAAATTAACCATTTAAAAGTTCTTGTTTTCTGTAATTTCTTTATTTCAATTTTTTTATTATAATTTAATTTAACGTAACAAAGTAATTTAATTTAGGTTTAATAATATAATTTTTTCAATAAAAACAATAATTAAGTATTTTGTTAGAACTCCATAATTATTCTAATTTCATTTTAGATTTTTTATATTAAAAATGAAATATTTATCCTCTATTTGATTATATTTATCTACAGTTAGTTACACGAATTCAAACATAAAAATTTAATAAGTTATGCTTGCACATAATTTACTTGTAGTCTTGAATTTTAAGTAATATGCATCAATAAACAGTATTTCATATATAAAAAATAGGTTTTAAGAGTTTTTTTTCAAATATTTTATAATATAATACAAATACATTGAATTTTACATTGTTAAAAATAAATTATAATGTTTGTTACAACAAAAATGACATGGTAAAGTTATTATAATTGTCTGACTAAAATACTTTTTACAAGACCATCAAAAGCGTGTCATATATACATACATTTTAATAAATTATTCAGACAAACTAAGTAGAAAAATTTAACAACTTTTTTCCTTTATAATAGTAAGTTGTTTGAATTAAATTGTATAATTCTAAATTAAAAAAATCAATTATTTTATTAGAACATCTTCCACAGATTATTTAAAAAAATTAAAATAGAGCGTTAATAGTTGAAATCATAAAAAAAACTTACATTTATCTTCAACAAATTCTCCATTTTAAAGAATTTAACATTGGTTATTATATTTTTTAAATATTTTTATTTATCTATTAAACTATTTTTTTCTCTTTAAATAATTACTTTATAAATTTCCTATTAGTATAAATATATTATAAAATATTTCTCTCACACGGTAATAAATTTTTTGAAGAAATCTTTATATTTGAGAAGAAAACCTTCTCATTCCTAATTTTCCTATTTTGAAGAAACTTTTAGAAAATATGTTGAAACTTAATTTTTATTTATGGATGTTTGAGATTGTTTATTTGAAACAACTCATACTTTTTTATAAAATTATTTATCAACTTATTATAAGTTAGAATTATTTATAACTTTTTCAAAAAAAATATTACCAGTTTAATATTAATATAAATTATTTATCCAAACACTAAAAATATTATATTCTTATATTAAATTTTTTTAAAATATCAAATAAAAGTATCTTAAAACTCCCTTTTCATTCTAATGATTGCCCTACAATCATTACTTTATATTTTTTAGGTTGATTGCGTCCCAAAATGTTTTTAAGTGTTTCTCTATTTTATTAGTTAAATATTTTTTATTCAACTATATATATAATTAATAATCAAGTGCTTACAAATAATACGGATATTTTTTCTGACTTAATTTCTTTATAAAATTTTCTAATTTATCCTTTTCTTAGGAGATATTTTTGTGTTGGAATGAAGTTGCAGCATTATTCATCATTTGATTCAATGGAAAGTATTTCATCCGTCCCATAAAATGCAAACTAATAGACGTGACAAAATTCTATCCTTTTATTGCGCTATATACTTGGTAAAAATTTAGTTGCATTTTTTATATTGGTTCAAACCAATTACACTTAGGTGGCGTTTGTTTTTTAAGAGGTTCTGAAATCTGAAGTCTGATTTCACTGAATTTTAAGAGTTGGTGCTGAATTTTGAAATCTGAATCAGTCAGACTGTTTGTTTTTACGTCTGAAGTATGAAATCTGAATCAATAAGACTATTTGTTTTTGTAAACTGACAAACATCTAAAATCTGAATCAATTCATTTCAATTAAATTTAACTGAAATATCCAATCATTTAAACCATCTGTAAACAATCATCTATTTTTAACACATTCAAAAAACTGTTTGAATGATACAACCATGTTTTATTAACTTC